TGATTTCAACTATTTGGCTGCAAATTTGAATCGGGACAATTATCTTTTTTTTGCCATCACAAAGAATGCCAATAGGTCATTAATCATAATGAATTAAGCAAGCTGGAAAGTCAATAACAGAGTTGGACAAAGCAATTATTCTCATTAAAGCGTGACAGGTGTTCCTGCTTTTTAAATCCAACAACATGAAAGTGCAATACTTAAAGAAACTTTTTCAGAATAGCATTTATAATATATATATATATATATATATATGTGAATATCATATCATACATTTATTTATATTTATATTATTGGTCACAATTAACTTTCAGGAAAATAGAACACTAAAAACCCCAACAAGCATTATAACAACTCGTAAATATAGCTACTAATGCCATAGACAGGAAGTACACAGAAGTCAATCGCAGTCAATGAGATTGCAGGATATCACATTCCTCAAATCAGATAGCTTCTCTCTCGTGTCAACGCGCTGCAGAAGCTCCTCCCTGCTGGCCTGGGAGGATAGATTTCACAGCATCCAGCAATTATCTGTAATGTGGGAAAAAAATCAATGTGCCCATGGAAAGCTGCTAAGGTCACCAAGCCGATGTTGTCACTTGAATCAGAGGCACTGCGTTGCTGCAGGCTGCAGGGCTCCAAGCTTATCAGCCAGCATCTGTGAGGACACGCATCATTTGTAATGCCATGGATTACGATAATTATTAGCCTGACGATATGCAAGATAATTGTTTTTTTTTGCATGTTATCATGGTAGAATGGAAAATATTTTAGATTTCAGTCATCTAATAATACAGATGACAACTATCATTTAAAATAGGAATCATTTCACGGAACTTAGTTAATTTTATTCGTTTTAATACCCCAGTCCTAAAAAAAAGAAGCAATATTTATTTTTTGCTGCATTTTTTTTTTAATAGTTAGAGTTAAACATAGTTGTAGTTCAGTTTTAGTGAAGTATTTATACAGTACCTCAGTCCTAAACAAAATAAATGTCTTTTGAAATGCATTTCATATAGTTGGAATGTCACATATCCACTTTCAACCTAAAGTCCACAGTCTATGCTGGTGCAGTAGATTTAATTTGCTACGCCAATTTCTGCAAAATATGATATAAATTGGTGTGGAACATCAATCCTAATCGGAAAATGCTCATCATTGAACGTTTCTGTTTTCAATCATTTTGGAGTTCGTGGGAAAATAAAGAAGAGAAACAGCATTGGACTCACCTCTGCTGCTCTGTTTTTTGGTCCAAACTGCTGCTAAAGCCAATTTCATGTTTGCCTAAATTGTCAATTTCCATGTCTTCTCTCTCAGGTAGAAACCCGCAACTGGAGCTAATGGAGGGCAAGCATCAAGTGTGCCCTCTTGGTGGGTTGGAAGATCCCGGCAGCACTGTAAGGGGAGGGGAGGCCTCCTTGAAACATTGATACTCTGGTGTAAATGCTATTAACGGCAAGGGGATATTGTGAGGAATGAAAAATCAATACGTTGTGGCCAGTAATGTTTTGAAGGATCAGCTTGCTTGTGCTTGTCTGACATCCAGATTGCATTTTCCTCTCACCATTACTCCCATTATTCCCCTTCATGTGCTATCAAACGTAAGATGGTAATCAAATTAATAATAGCAGTCACCAATCTGATATAGCTGCACTCTACTAAAGAGATTGGAAATGTGTTTTGTCTCAACATCTCAGATTTCAAAAGGCAAATGCAATGATTTTCACGTCTGCATGGAATGCATCTACACTAGGGATGCATACGCGTGAGCCATTCTCAGTGTCATGCTCAGACTGTACAGTCCCCCGAAAATGATAGGATGTCTGCGATGACTCACTGAGTAAACATGGTGCATCTCTGCTGTGTTAAAGTGAAGCCTAAAATGTTGTTGAGACCTTAAATAAAGAAGAGAAGACATACAGCACAATGAGGCAGTTGATCTACCGCCTACATAACGACCATTTTTACAACTCATAGCTGTATAATTGAAGTCAGAACCCAGCATTTGTACTTTCTTATTAGGGCTGTTTCTCAATATCTGCAACCTAATGGAAGAGAAATAGGTGTCATAAACAGAATGGCAAATGCAACATTTCCAAAGGCGCCGTTTTGCTCTCTTTTGGTCGCCCACTAAGACAGATTCGCTCTTTAATGTGCATCATTAAAGGTTCATAACACTATGATGCCCTGGGCTGCTATAGCACTAAAGCTGTGTGTGACAGTGCACCAGCACAGACAAGTGAAAGAAGAGAGGCACTGCATTTGATCAAGGCTAAACTAAACTAAACTAGACTAATGATGTAATGCTCTTTATTACATTCTCTTGCATAGTTTCAGTATATTATGTAGAGACGTCATTATAAAAGCACTTTAAGCTGAACTTGCCTACATGTTGTAGTATAGTAGCAGCAACACATGAGTTTGACCAAGACATTTTAAAATGGCTGCTGACTGTCCAAAACAAAGAGAGATCTTTGTTTTGATGGCATTTTAGCATATTTGAACATTCATTTTTAACTTAGAGGGTTACCTACAGTAAAATCTAATCAAGTTTGATGTTAAAAAACAAAGTGCTGTTCAGAAGGGCTGATATATTTCTACAGTTGCAGCATTGTGTCATTTATTAGATTACTTTATATTGTACTCGTGCTTTGGATTTTTTCATGTTATTTTGTACACAAAACACCAAAGGGCCTAAAATGTGCATTGAATAAGTATCACAGTAATATAAGTTAAGACAATAAAGGTGGAATTTGTTGCTTTTGTTTAGGATGACATTGTATTGTACAGGTATTGCCCAGGCACCCAAAAAGCACGAGTCAATATGATTTATTGTAATTTTGTCTGGTAATATGAGAGTATCATACACACCACTAAACTACACTATTCACTTGCATAGGAATGATCATAAGGTGAGTCCTGCTATATTACCTGATTTTGAGGCCCTGTCAAAGTCTTACATTTTATACTTACATGATGCATATTACAAATTTACAAATGACCACACAGCAAGTCTGAGGCTGTACTACGCTTGCATATAAATACTGTTACAGTGCACAAGGAAGGGGTTGACCGGGGGAGTTGATAGGCACCAAGCAACTCATTTTAGCTCAAGGGACCCCAAGCAGCTTAATCTGGTCATGGAAACAACCAAGGTAAATTCTCCAAATTAGTCATAAGTACGACACATCTAACTCAGTTGATGCTTAAAAAGCAATGCGTGTGTGCTACCGCCATCTAGTGGCCCGTTGTCTAATGGTGGGTTCATCACCAAAGGAGGAAACTGTCTCTCACTGACTCAAACAATCATTCATAGCCTGTCAACTACACACAGTCAGTGCTTCCCTTTTAATGTTCTTCACAAATAACCAATAAGTGCTAAAGTACAACTTCTCATTCATATCAGAGATATTGTGTTAACATTCAGAAATGATTTTTAAATATGTAATCATTCACATAATGTCTCTACTTTTTCACCTGACGACACTACGTAGTGTAGACCACACTGAGGTCATCTTAGCCTCACATAGAGAAGTCTACAAGATAATGTAAATACTTCAACAGAGGCTGGATGTTTTCATTTATTAGAATTCAGAAATTTGAATTACATCTCCAAAAAATAGCTCATATATCAACTTTTTTCATTTTCCATTGGAAGTATGAATGCAGTACAAGAATCTGAAACCAAACACTATTTTGTGAGCTATTCAAAAAGCCCACATTAACGTTTCGTCTGACGTCCTTTAATTGGTAAGTGGAAGTGAGTTCCCAAAGCTGCACTTATGACCCTGAGAAATGACATAACGGGAAGTCTGATGAGAATCTGTTTAGAGTCTACTCCAAACCTCGCCACCGGCAAATGGATCAAACGCAAAGCCGCCCTCTTATCACCACTTCCCCTGTCTGTTTGGTAGACGCTGCATCGGATGAATCCTTATCGTGTCCATACAGTGCTGGTTCACATGTCATGTTATCACACAAGTCCCTTCCCAAGGGCTCCCACAGGAAGAGTCTGGTCCCATGGGCACTACATGCCAAGTATCTCAACTGACTTACGGTGAGGAAAAAAACGTGGTGTGGTCAAGAGTCGACTGTGGGTACGGTCTGCTCAATGTCTCTATTCATGATAACGGTCTCATTAAACTCAACACAAGTGAGAGCCAAATTAGAATAATCAAAAGATTCATTTTAATGGTTTATTTTGTAGTTTGTTGGATGGATTCTGGTTCAGAAAGTGCCCCACTAAAAATGTGGATGCTGTGAATCCTTGCAAATCAGAAACTGCCATACTATACTATATTACTGATATTAAAAAAATGTCATAAGCAACACCGACCCAGTTACCCTAACACGTCAAATAACAAGATTACCAAAAGCAGCATCTTTATACAGTGTTCTAGAACAATGGGCATTTTTGTTAATATTAACTCTTTAGTTTGTGTGACTTTTAAAGTTTGTGTATTAAATCATTTAATAAGTGACTGGGACATATATTCTAAATTTTGGAAAATTATATATTTAGATTTAAAATCTAGTTTGCGATGTCTTCTCTCAAATACAAAAGAAGTATTGACTTTTGAGTTGATAGATTTAAATTAATTCAATAAATATAACTTCTGTAAAGCAAGTTTTTTTTCATAAACTGCATGAGTCATATTTAAAAACTTATTCATCAGTTAAATTTCTGTTCACACTGACTGGTGTGCATGATACATCTGTTTCACTGCAGGAGGACTCGCATAAACACGCGCACACTGTGACACACCCACGCATAAATAGGCTAAAGGGCTTTTGCCCTAAACTCTCGGTGTACGCCTCATTGTTTATGTTGGTGTTCTGGGGAAATTAGCATCGGTTTTGCCGTTATTAAAAATCATGAAAGGAGGAAGTACTGAGCCAGAGTACGTGGGAGGTGGAGGGGGTGTCCAGGGACTCCACTCCCCGGCGAGGATTTCATAATCTCCAGCATGGTGACGCGCTGGTGACTTGACGCTGCAGTGAAACGGTGCTGCTCCCTCGCTGCGTTTGGACTCGTAGCGGAGATATGCATCTCTTTTACATTTCTTTAATCACAAGTTGACCAGTTTAAGGAGACATGTCCGCTCAAGGGTTGTTAAGCAGTGTTTTCTCATGCTCGCTAAGCCCCAAAACTCGTTCCAAACGGAGACTAATACAGACCAGGAGTTTGGACCCAGCGTTGATGGGACATTATGGTACCGACGCCGAGGAGACATCGTTTCAGGTCAGTGACCTGGTAGCTCCACGGTGCAGGCGATCGTAGTTGTTGTCAGACTTGTCGACCTGATTCCAAATGTTCCGAGCGGAGATATCCCATCGGGTCGCAGTGATGATAAGTTATACGCGTTATTGGTTTGGATGACTGAAATGAATGAATGAGGGGGTCGCAAGTGTCCTAAAATGTGGCTCAAGATGTGATTCAGATTTCTTACTTACATCACCTTTGAAATGCTATTTTATTTCCCAATTGCATATAGGAAGTGCAAAACTTACACGAATTAGAGCTCAGGAGCGAACTCAGCGTAGAGTGCATCCAGATTCCGGAAGTGGCTGGAATTCCCTGAGGATGATGTAGCCAAGGAGTTTACAGGATTGTCGTTAATTCCCTTTGATCTTAAATGAACACATTTTGAAACGTTTTGACTGTATATTTGGTGCATGCAATTGTTTTTTTTATTTTCTCAAAGGGGAAATAAATCAAAAGGAGCTCGTTTTTTTCCACACTGTTGCAACATCACCAAGTCCATGACTAGTCTCTGACAAGATAAGCTTCATGTGTGGACTATTGACACCAACAAATGACTCAACTCATTCCTTTTGGTGAAATGATGTCAGCCGAGACCTTTGCTTGTGCCGACTTGCTGATGTTGAAAGAGTTGTGCCTGGAAAATTTGTCACATTTGGCAAGGCGCAACTCAAAAAAAAACTTATTTTCTCACATCATCATACAAGCTTTAAGGTGGGGTTCTGGCAAAAAAAACATGATATAAGTATACCAAATTTTCGAATATGTGCATAACCTTTGTTACTGGACCATTATATAATTCCTAATGAGCCTGAAAACAGAAAACAGTCATGTGTTAACACGTATTTAAAATCTATTACAATGGTCATTTGCATCTTTTCTATTGTTAAAGATACATCTTTTTAGATTCATAGTACATCTTCCTAGTCTACCCATGTTCATAATTCGAGCCGATCAGTATTGCTGTGCTTAAGTTGGTCCTCATGGTAACACTGTGTATTTAGTATAACGGAAATGTAATACAGACATGACATTATAATAGGCTTGTAATGAATACCAGGTATCTGGTAGCTCTTACAGTTATCAACAAGAACACAGATCCTACAGCCAGAGCCCTTAAAAATGTAATCACAGTAAATCTGAATGAAGATGATTAATATTGGAGGCAGCTCTGTGTCAGAGAGGATATTTAATGTGATTTATGACTTTGGGGAGCGCTTGAGTGCACCATTATGCTCAGAGAGCTGCACTACAGCCTGTTTTTTTTCCCAAGGATTTTTCAAATGGTAAATGTTACCTCCACTGCAGATAACAACCCCAGACACACATCGTGGTAATGTTTTACCACTCATATCATACAGGGTATTTGTAGACAGTAGAGCTATACTATGTCTAGAGCTTCAACATGATAGTGAGAAGAACTTCAGCCAGTTGAGCCGAGGTCTGAGGTGTGAGATCCTTCCTGGGGACTCACATGACCAAGCTGTCTGCTTACACCGACAGTAAGTAAGTGCCTTGCACTGTATGCAAACCTCACTCCAAGTCCGTAATGAAAGTCACATTTAATGGGTGTGCAAATGTCCAACCAGCAGTTCATTCAGGGACAATAGTATCTAAGCTACCGTCACAACATCATTAATGAAGTCAGTCTGACAATGTTTCTCCCTCCGCCCAATAACAGCCCGGCTCTGCAAGATTCTCCTTTTATGAGATGTACTATTATATGTCTTGTACCTCAGACTGTCCAGGTCTCTTGCAAAAAGAAAATGTTGCTGTATTAGTTTATTGAATGCCATCCAGTGTATAGTTATTGTGCTTAGCAAAGAGTAAAACACATGCACGTACAAAGACATACCTGGTGCCGCGGCGCGCTAAAGATCAATGGAAATACGTTGTGTTTGGTCATAGTGTATCCTAATCAAGGTCTGTTGTCTAGCCTATGCTCTGTTATATGATGCATATGATTCAAATGATCACCAAGCGATAACTTATTATTGGCATGAAAACACATCCTGTTCCCTGTTTAAAAAGCAGTGTCGGATTGGTATTTCTGATCTATGGTACAAGGGAGCTTGTATTTTCCATAGGTTGAACATCACTGTGGTCTATTACAATGTGTACTCACTCGGGGTCTCGGTAGTCAGAGCTGAGATGGAAAGCAGAGACATCTGGTTTACATGAAGAAAGCTTCAACTCTTATTTCTCACAGTAGAGCAGCATGACCTGATCCTTGGCTACGGTCCCTCAGGCACATATTTCTTCCCACAGGAGACTGTCCGTTTGCAAGGCATGGAACCAAACCTGCTGGCTTCACACAGCAGCACCACAGCCTCCACCTGGTGTCTGATAAGAGGACAATTAAAACAATGGGTTAGATGTAAACATAGATGATAAATCATTGCTTCACAGCAATTCAATTCAATCAAATGATAACAGGCATTTGTGATCGGCTTCTTGCCAAAGGGTATACCCAGCCTCAGTAGCAAGATACCTGCTCTGAATAATTGAATTCAGTTTACCTGAGGATCCAGTATGTGTCTCCACTCCAGTTGGAACGTGTTGGCGTACAGTGTATAAAACCCTTAGTCAGGGTATTCAAGGTGCCATTTAGGATGATAGAAGAAAGGGGTATGAACAGTCTTGGGTTTAGTTGTTATATAAACAACGTGTCTGTCTTTATTCTTCCCCAGTTCCCCTCTGTGTATCACATTCAACAATGCAATCGGCCAACAAATAAGATTAATATGTTAACATTGTTTCAAATTAAATGGACATGCTGTCTTGTGGGAGAGGAGACTGAAGCGTTTTGGACGCCTTTCATTACTAAGAAGGCCTGACTGCCCCACTGCAAGTCAATTACTGTTTAATATGACTGGTGGAGTCCTTCCCTGATCCACATAAGTGCCTAGCATTGGTTACAGTCATGTTTAGGATTCATTTATGTTGATTTTGCATTTCATTTTGGGCCTTGTGAAGACCTTGTGAGATATTGGAAAATATTGTCTTTTGGTTAAATCCCTTTTGTAAAAACCTAACGTATTAACTGTCATTATTTTTCTTTCCACATGAAATCTTGTTTGTGGAAAATGGTGATTTTAAGAGGACCCCGGGCAGTGTGTGATGTAATCTTCATTCATTTGATATAAAGCACAACCCTTCAGAGAAATTACTTTGTAAGTCATTCTAAATAGCCAGAACAGATATGCAACTATAACATATGTCTCCATTTGCTCAGGTATGTCTTAGGAAGCCAGTCGCAGGAACATATAAAGCCTTTCGAAGGAGCCATTCATTTTACTACATGCAGTAGAGCGTGTTACGTCAACAATAGGTTTTGTTACATGTTAAAGCAGCATGGCCTTTGGCCACATATTTCAAATTCATAAAAAACTCTTAACCATCCAGGTGTTAAGTTGATTCTGAATGATAATTCCACATGCACAATTGATGAAATGTAGCTTTACGTGTACACTCTAATTTTGAATGCTTGTAAGCAAAGCTGCAAGTTTAAACCTAAAATAAAAATATTTTCTCTACCAAATTTAATTCCATGAAGTGTCCCATCATTGCTCCTTTAATATATTGGCGAAATCATTTGATGATGCAGAGAAAGAAAAGTTGTGCTATGAGCACCACGGAGGAGAAACGGTCTGCAGGAGAAAGAGCTTGGAGGAAACTGAAAACGTCCCTCTGTTACAAAGCCACTTGAATCTCATGATTGACTTTGTTAAATGCAAGAGGAAACATATTTCATTCAAAATCCAGCTACTTTTCAGAAAATGTTAGATTTGGAGACTCGGACACAGTGCTGAAAGTAGGGCTGCAAATTAAAGTTCATAAAGGCAGACACTAATACAAATATTTTTGACTGAAGTGGCCCGCCAAAGTCTATTCTCTGTCAGTGTGTTCTCAATCATTGTCCTTTCAGTACCTTCAGAGGCCATAAGCCATCTGTATCTAAATGTCTAAAACATTAAGCTATTAGTATACTATTATTAGGTTGTAGGTGAAATTATTTGTATCTGTTATTGAGACTTCATTGTTGAGCTTTACCGTTTTAAATTGAATGAGGATTTCTCCCCCCTACATCGCCTTCAAAAATGGTTTGTTTCTGCTGGACATGCTGCTTCCTGTTTATCATCACCACCATGCACAGCATTAACAACCTCATTCCAGCACTCCAGGAGGCAAAAGCCACTCAAAGCTTCTCCAGAGCCGAATAGAAGAGAAATGTCCAACCAGACTCGTAAAAATGCTCTCAGTCTCACACATAATTTAGAGGAAATCAACATGATATGTTATAGTAATGTCTGCAGGCTACAGGTGTTCTAAAACATCAACCACAGGGAGGAAACTCAATCTCCGTGTGGAGGGATGACTGCTATTATAGTTCTGGTCTCACGTAGCTACATCGATTAATCTGCTGCCATCGCTGTCTGACTATAATCCACCGTCCACCTGCACAGGTGTTTTCACTTATGCTGCCTGATTAGACCTCTCTCAGGACGGGCTGGGTGGTGGACTGTGCTTAGTTAGCATCTCCATCACTGTCTTGCTGCACCAACTGAGGCACCTAAATGGAATTCAGCCATTACTGATTTAATTTATACACCTGTGACATCCGAATGTGATGTGTCAAAACGTCTTCCATGACATAGCCCTATTGGTACTTTTCAGTACCATAGAAGACATTTGTTTACACATAGAAGACATTTTGACATGTCACAGTAGAAATCCATTGAGCTGCTTCAGTTTCAGAGTCTTGATACTGTGCATGCCGGCTCACAGTCACACTGACTTACGAAGACACTTGAAAACAGAGACATTGTTATTGTTATTAGCAACACCTGTGTGTTAACTGTTATGACAAGTCATAATGTTTGCTGTGATCTTCAACTTCACTACAGAGGTCTAATCAAACCCAATCACTCAAAACACCTGTGTGGGTGTGCAGGGCCTATCATTTATGTAGAGCTAGAACATGTTTGGGTTTTTTTTAACACTGATATCAATATTTGAGAGTTTAAAAAAACAACAATTGATAAAAATACAGCATCCAATATTCATTCTTTGACATTAACAAGATGAGTACTAAGCAGGACATTTTACGGTTGAATAAATAACCTTCTCAGTGCTCTCTGGTGGATTAACTATAGCACTTATATCTTTGACAGTTCTTTACTGACATTCCTTGTTACTTATCGTCCTACATATATGTAGATAAAGATATCTGCAATAAGCTAAACTATCACCAATACCAGCCTGGTGGATTTAGCAATCTAGCATAGCTCTTATTTCCTCAGCAGTTTTAACTCGTCTTAACTGTGCTTCCATATGACGTTAAAAATATTAAAACCCAGAATAATCTCTACAGAACAGATAAAGACTCATAGGAAATCCATAAATGATCTGAGTAATAGCAGCAGTTGTCTTTTCATTGAAATATAGTATTCAAAGTGAGCGCTTCATGCTATCAATTAGTTACTTCGTCAAATACAGTTTCCCCAAATTACAGGAATGAGTTTTCTCACTTACCTCTCTATGCAGGCAATTATGGTTTTCTGTTATGTTGAGACGTGTCTCTGAGCTTTCTGCCACCACCGCAAACATAATAATGGTTTGACTCATGGGTATATTGTAGTGTTCAGAGCGATTGAAACCTGGCCGAATTTGTTTTTAAGCAGACTTTTAAGCGATGATTTGAAACGCCACACACTAATCAGTATACTTAAATACTCTGTTAGGTATCATAATCATGGCTTTGGGCTGATGAGCCATCGCGTTACCTGAATGTGATGTTTAACTCCAGCTTACTTACAGGTGAGAATACTCCTCTGTTTCTATTGTTAACGTGCCCTGACAGTGACCCGTTCCTTCAGCCCCTCCCAATCCACTAATCAGAGGTAATGTTATTCACTGGGACTGCGTCTGTCACCGTGACTAATTCAGTCACTTGGACCACTTTTAACTGCACGTTGTCTGCGTCCTGGATCCAGACTGTGAGCACGTGGACTGTATTTATGTGGGGGCTTTTAGCCTGAAGTCAAATGGCGTCAGTTGATTTAACATTCAGTGGTGGTCTACAAGTTTGAGGGAGGGGTGATATCGCGACCCTGGCGACCCGACTCTCTGCGATGGGGGATCCAATTCCCAAGCGAAACATCACCTATCTCGTGAGTAGATGCTGTTGTCGGGTTGTCTCAGCAGCTTAATTAACCGTGTAGACGATTAATTAACCTAGTTGGCTTGCTGAAGGTTTCCCAGTACCACAAATAGTTAGGAAAAGTGGAGGAAATAGTTACAGAGCTAGTTGACAGGGAAGGACTCAAAGGCTTTACCCCTTATAATAAAGTGTTGTGATATGAATTGGTATCTTTCTTTTTTCAGTGATTCATGTAAGAAGGCTACTACACTGACTGAGCGTTTCTGTGTTGCTGCTCTCCATCTCCTTTTATTCCCACTCCTCATGTACAGTATGTGTCATACCAATTGGTCTAGTTGTTTTATTGTTTGTTCAGTCCTACAAGGACCGTTTGTTAATTATTTGCTGTTGTTAATTCTTTGCGAATTGTTGTTGACATTACCTTGAAAGCAAAGGAAAAAAAATATTTATTGTACCGTGAATTACTCTATACATTAAAGCACATTACTTATTTTAAGAATAGCAGGATGTGAGTAATTGAGCTGTTTGTGTTTGATTCATCCCCTCACTGGATCCACTTCAAGTGTGATTGAGTGTAATCTGAGTTTTTGATCTTGCTATATTGCATGAGCTACCTTGCGCGTTTCCTCCCATTGTATTCCAGTTAGCACGAACAAAAGCATTGTGTTACAAGGTCTTGAATTAAAGTTAGGATAGTGCACAGCCAAATAAGTGTGCCTTGGTGTGTATTCACTTGCACTTTGCACAGGAGAGTGTTCAGAAAAATTGCGAGTTGATACATTTTAGTAGGTATGCTTGCTTTAATGCTGGCTTTGTTGTTACAGTGTAGATTAATGATGAATACAAATCATTTTATAGTTATAAAGCACTGGCTTCGAAACAATAATTTCATCCAGCTCTGACAATGACTCTGTAACAGCTTGAGCAGCTGTTTGGGTCTGACTTTCTAAATATAGAAAACGTATAAAAGGTTGTGTGAAAAGCCATCCACAAGTAAAAAAACCAAAAACATTATTATTTATGATTATTATGTAGCAGTGCTATATTCACTTATCCATCTTCTGACAATTATAATAACAACAAATAATGGATAAATGAGTTTCAATATTGTACCGAAGCGACGTGCACTCAAATGGACATGATGAACTCAAACCTATGATTATGGAATAGCTAAAGACGTATTGCATCAAAAAGTGATAGGCCACACCAGTGTTTCCCAAACTTCTACTCTGGGGACCAAGAAAAATGATGAACCATCGCGACCCAGTTCACAATAGGCCTGATCTATAAATTAATAGAAGAGCACATTTGTGTGCAAATGAATGTTCCTGACCCTTTTTTACTACTATTTCCACATCACCCTATATTATATTGAATACATACAAGTTTAAACGAGATATACACTTTGTTTTATGCACGTGATATTGAAAACATACACGTTAAATGCATTTAGTTGGAGTTAACAGAATGTAACGTATTGGATTCATTGTTAAAAGTAGGCTAAAATATTCAGGCTCCCTCGTGTGGCTCATAGGTGTGCTGGAGATATAAAAGACGATGGCAGAATTTCTGCTAAATTATTTGGCGACCCAAATTAAATCTCCTGCTCATTTTTTGGAATTCACTGACAGAGAGAAACTGTGGGAAACATCATCAGATAGGGGGGAAGCTTCCACTCCCATATAGTCACACAAGAGGAATGTCTGAACAAAATGGGTAGATAACTGCAATATGCCACTTGTGATTTCACGGCAATATGGCACAATTTTACAGAATTGCGACACAAAGAGTGGCACACAGTAAACACTGTTGCTGTTACTTTATTTTCTTGGCTGTAGAAGGTGCCTATGCTTTTGCTTTTGTATCCTGATTATCTGTTGCTTAAATTATGAGGTAAAACAAAAGAAAGAAAATAGGCCTTCAGAAAGGAATAACGGAATACAGTTGTGACAGATTCATGTGGTGTGCCCTACCATCCAGTGCCCAATCTGCCCAGCTTGTGTCGATTTCTGTCACTGTTTCAGTTTATTAAAAAGCCTTGGTACGAAGCTGCAGAAACAGAAATCATTTCCAAATATTAAAAGTAAGGCTGTACATTAGTCCAGGGATTATTATACGGTTTTAATATAGTTATGTTTTTGTCTGATTATAAATAAACCATTATGAATATGTGATCCACATGTAAAGTTGGACTGTTCCTGCTCCCAAACCAGAGAGGATGCAATATGTTGCATTTGTCAGGAATCCAGAATGGAATCATCTATATAGTGCAATGAACTAGCCCAACGTTTGTTAGAAACACTGTTTTACAACCAAACTGGAAATTGAAAGCCTGAAACTGCAAAACCGATCAATAAAATGTTTTTTGCTTTTTATTATTTGTTATTTATTTATTTGCAAATTACAATTTGTCACTCTTTTGGGATTACTCGGTTTTTTACAGTGATCTGATTGGTCAATTGGTTTACAGTTTTTGATCTCATCCTCTAAATTTAACCCGCTCCGCCAGCGGGTTATCCATGGTGATCTACCCCGTGAGCCAGATTCATACAGGAAAACCTGTTCGTCACATCATGTTCTCTGTGCATATACTGTACTTTGTACTTGAAAATAGTATGCTACTGTCGTAGTACAACCCTAATTCTCCTTTAATGTGAGTGAGCCAATAGAGTGTAAGCCTTATCCTGATAATGAGTTACTAAAGCCTCTTTGGAACATGGCTCATATGATTGGCTTGACCGTACAGGATCAAAGCACTGTAATCTCCAGCATGGAGATGCTGAAAGGTTGAGGATTTCACATCAGATTATTTGTCCTGTCATTACCACAGTACTAAATCTTCAGAATCACTTACCCGTAGCAATGTTTACGAGCAAAATGTTTTTGATTTAGATTGATGATAAATTATCCATAAATCCGTGGATATTAAATGCAGCGTCATGCACTTTATTGAGTGGATTAGGGATAGAATTAGGATGAGGTATTTAACATTATGGAGCTTATGATATAGAGTTTGCATTATTAATAAGCATGTATCTTGCTACTTGTAAAATAAGATAATCTACATAATCAGTATTCTCGCTCCTTTCTCTGATAAGACGGCTGGCCCAATTCTGGGACACAGACGTTCTGCCAGACAGTGTTACTAATGTCAACAACTTACAGTCCTCGCTTCTACAATCAGAAAATACAAACATGTTTGTGTTAGATTACATTATAAAATATAAAAAGTACAGCACATATGCTGCATGCTAACATCAAGGAGTTAATATCATTTAAACTGTCTTTACAGTGTTAGCCGTCAGTTTTTGTCATGGGAAACAGAACAATGATGTCATGACTTTCAGCTGGCAAGTGAAGCAAAGGTATTTGTCAGTTCATACAAAGTGAGGGTATGTAGAGGATGTAGACGGTGACAGCAATGATAGATGTATCTGATGTGTGTGTGTGTGTGTGTGTGTGTGTGTGTCTTCAGGGCGACTTTACCTGGAACAGCGTGTCAGGACGTAACGTTGGCCTGAAGCCCGTCCCTTTGCAAAGCCTCTCAGAGTTGGAGAGGGTTCGTCTCCAAGACGTGGCCTTCAGACGATTGCTTCGGGATCGCGACCCGGGCTGCCACATCACCATCCCTAAATGTATTAAAACACACACTCACACTAACAGACCCCTTCCTTATTCATCAAGTTGCTATTCTGCAGCAAGCAAAAAATGTCTTCTGAAACAACATGCAGACTAGCGACATGACAGAAAGTGATTTTCTCTCTGTTTATTTTACATGAGAATAATTATTTCCTTTTTGTGTAAGGGTGTCGTGCTCCCTATTGATTTCAATACATTTCTTGCAGCTTAATAGATTTCATGGTGTGAGATTGTCTACCTATGCAATCGCAGACTGCTGTTTTTCATAAAGTAGTTTATTTATTTAGTAGATAGTCTCTGATTCTGGTTGTGTAGTCGTTTGTTACATTCTATACTTTGTTCACATCTAACACGAATTACATTGTTAAAAAAAAAAAAGGAATGTTTTGAAGTATATGACGGCATTGTAATGCTGTTGTACACCTGTATAAGGGTTGTGAATTGAGATTCAAACTCCACTCCTTTGTTTTGTCAAGGTAACCATTTACGAAATGAGCCGAAGAATATCAAGTGGAGCAAGCAGGAGCCGGGGCATATTAACCTGGGTTCTTTTTTTTTTTTTTTTTAACTGTGACACCTCTGCTTCTTTTCAGATGGCCACAAGCACAAGAAGTTACTTCGGCGGAAGTTGGATTCATTATCTAAAGAGAAGAGTAAAGACAAAGGTATTGTGGGATATACTGGATACACTCCATGCTGTAAGGGGAATGTTAGTGCTCTCCATTGGAAAATTGTATTTAGATAAGGATTTCTAACACACTCAGTTATATGATTGTTAGTCTTTCCAAACCAATGAAGATAAACAGTTATTTTTCAAGTCTGTGGCAGAGCCACTGAGTCCTGTCAGTTTATTCCCCCTTCCAGTTTTCCAATCTAGTCCGCCCTAGCCGGACACATGAAAACATACTCTGTGATCCTTTTGGCTGAAGCGATATAGACTCAGTGAAGCAGACATTCTCAGCTGCTGACTGATCAGTAATCTACAGTACGGTAAAGAAGTCTCAGAGGGAGCTGCGATCTTCAACAGCTGCACTGCCCCGCCCGCTGCAAGAATCTGGCAGCAAAGGGATGTTCTCTGTCAGCCAGGCAGTCGAGGGAAATAACAAAAACAATCTTAAGTGGAGGCTCATTCATTACGGCCTATCCTCCAGCACGGCCAGCCCCCTCTTTCCTCTTCTCCCCTTTTGTTTACAAAGGCACTTCAGAAAGTATGCGCTCTCTGAATACCGAGTGTGCACTGCAGACTACTGTTCTAGGCTTTTATTCAATTTGAGTAGCATTTATGTAATTGTTACTCAAATATTTCCCCTTTTTATATGACTATCAAACAAAGCATGTATTTAAAAGGTCAACTTTGAATATAAAGAATGAACGCAAAGACAAGTTAGTGGTTGCTTTCTACAGAAAATCTAGGCTCCAAAGGTTAACATATATAATGTGCTGACATGACTGACACATCTTTAATCTAATTCAACATCTCCCAGTTGACTTGGAGCCAACACGATGAACTTTAAATCTCCCTGTCTTGACCTTTCTCCTCACACAGAGACTGCGCCCCAGGCGTTTGGCATACCACTATCGCAGGTCATATCCAACGACCGCACACACAAGCAGCGGCACGATCCCCCGCGGGAGGAGCACAGTGAATTGATGCTATCCTTCCTCAACTTCAACTACAGCTTCAAAAGGGGCAACAAGGAGCTCTCCAGCAGCAACTCGTCCCTGAGCTCCACTTCTGAGACCCCTAATGAATCGCCTCTGCTCAGCACAGCAGACGCAGCCCCGCGGACACGCAGGAGGGTAGGCTCCTCTTGTCGATAAAGCCTACAGGCTGTTGTAGAGCAACAGGAGATCCATCAGATTACACTTGCACACTAGAATTCTCAGGGAATTTCTGACCTTTTTGGGGATATTCATTCAGTGGGGTAGCTATTAAATGACTGCACCACATGCTATCACAAATGTCACTGAATGGTTGTCGCCCATCTGCTCGACAGGGCGGAGTATCGGTGGATTGCATCACTGATCTGGATGATAACCAGTCTCGGCTCTTGGAGGCCCTTCAGCTCTCTCTGCCAGAGGAGGCAGCTGGCAACAGGAAGAAGCGCCGTGACAAAAAACTCAGCCTTAACCCGATTTACAGGCAGGTGCCCAGGGTGGTGGATGTCTGCTGCCAGCACCTGGAAAAACATGGTACACATTATCAAAGTTGAACAGTAACAGTATAGTGTGTAGTATATGATATAGAAAATACCTAACATATCTCTGTGGAAGCTTATGATTCAGAAATAGTGTGTTCATAACCTTGTGAATCATACAATTTGAATGTCTTTGAGGCTAAATATATTATCCACACTATTGGAACTAAGTGATTATCGTCATCTTTGCTTATACAGGCCTGCGGACGGTTGGAATTTTCCGTGTTGGAAGTTCCAAGAAGAGAGTACGACAGGTACAATTTCAGCTGGTCAACTGTAACACACATCTCGACTTAAGATAAATTGTGTCAACCATGAGCAACATTTCGCTGTAATAAATGCCACAATGTTTCATCCAGCTTCGCAAGGATTTTGACCAGGGATGGGAGGTGCATTTGGATGAGGAGCACAGTGTCCACGATGTAGCTGCATTGCTTAAAGAGTTCCTCAGGGACATGCCTGACCCACTGCTAACCAGAGAACTCTACACGGTCTTCATCAACACAATGTGTGAGGAACACACGCATACACACAAACAAAAGAAATTCACCCACAAGTCTCCATTGTTGTGATAGTTTGATAGAATTTACAGTTGTGTGGCATTTTCTTTAATTGACATCAATGTGGTGGCCTTTTTTTTTTTCTGCAGTGCTGGATTATTCAGACCAAGAGAGCACCATCCAGCTCCTGATATTTCTGCTTCCTCCCTGTAACAGCGACACGCTGCAGCGCCTCCTCTGCTTGTTGTCCACAGTGGCTGCACATGCTGAAGACAGCTTGGACAGTGACAGACAAGAGGTAAAGAAACTGTACATGCCCTGTTTTATGGTAGTGGGTTGTATTTTTGGTCGGACCAGATGAGATTTACATACACAAGACACAAGAGGAGGTGTCAATATTTTGGCATGGCATCGGGATTATACAGCCCTCGTTGTTGATCACAAGCAAGTACACAATATATGTTTAGAAAGTGAGCAGCTATCACTCTAAAACGTAAATAGATTGTTTACAAGTTTATGTAATTGAGATTAATCCCCGCAGCCGTCTGAATTCAGTAAAACAGACACCTGCAGCCTCCAATTTGAGGAAAATGAAGTGCCAAAGCGCAGCGCATTATGCATGATGATCCATTGTGGGTGTCTTGATTAAATGATGCACAGCTAACAATAACCACACAACACTGACGCTGTGCTTCTACATACATCATACTGTTCATTCATAAGTAGTGTAAGTAATTTGCAACATAGAGGGAAACAGGTCATTTCAAAAGCTATAAACAGTATTTGTACCAACAGAAAAAAATGTTACCTACTCCATGAAGCCAGTCTGGGCCCCAAGTCATCTTTTAATTAAATTCTTTTAATACTAATCGTCACAGTGGAGATGAATTGTTTCCCACGGATCTAAAGCCAGTTTATTCTTGGCATCGCTCCCTGGAGCATACATACTGTAACAGTGGACAAGAGGTCTGCTTGGTCTCTTTGAACAAAAGAAGGCAGAGCTGGCCTTATTGATGGTGGCAGGGCTGTTTCATGTGCACATTCCCAACATTTCAAGGATGACAAGGAGGGGCTACAGCAAAAGACTCTTGAAACCATATCTCCAGTACTCATGTGTGTACAGGTTTTCATTCCTGTGTGTAAGCACATGGGCAGATTGAAAGAAAATCCAGGGTAATTTAGCTCCATTGTTAACTTTCATAACACATTATTTCCGTCTCGAAAACATTTCTTTAATTTGCAGGGGTCAGATTTATAATCTAATCCCGTTAAAGAACTTGGCTGTGATGTGAGAGGTTCACGAACAAAGCTGCTGCATTAGATACGTTTTGCTTTAATCTGACGACTCTGGTTCAAAAATTGAAGAAATTTGAATTAAAGCAATCTTACTCATATTCTACCACGTAGAGGAGATGCTGGAGTTAATTTTTGACTGGAGCTGAAGAATTTGATGTCCACCATATCAAAATATCCCGTGAAAGTGGCTGTGAATGTGCACGTTCTGTGGACTGTCTATACAAATAAATCCTGTCCTCGCTTTTGTTTAGATCACAGGAAACAAGATGACATCACTCAATCTAGCAACCATCTTTGGACCCAACCTCTTGCACAAGCAAAAAAACTCAGACAAAGAGTTTGCAGTCCAGAGTTTTGCCCGTGCAGAGGAGAGCACAGCCATCATCAGTGTGGTCCAAAAGATGATCAATACATATGAAACGCTTTTTACGGTAAGCTATCCTCACTGCAAACCAAAAGGCATGTTAACGGTTAAAGACAGCCGTCAAGGTCTTAGTCAGGTCTGGGGATGATTCTTGAGCTTAATAGAGTGGAGCCACCAAATGAAATGTAAACATCAGCATTATAGGTTCTGAGAAGGGCTACGCTCTTATAGTCACCTATAAAACAAAGTAGTGTCACAGTGAAATAGTGAACCTTCAAGACGTTCAGTGAATACTCTTTTTAGTGCATGGGGAAATGAGAAGCAGCTCTAGATAGGTTAATAACTGGCATTGCAGCCTCTGCTTTGTTTACGATTGGGAGCGAGGGCAAGATCCTCATCTGCATGATGTTTTCTGCTTTTCACCAGAAACTTAAGTGCAGATGCACTTAATTCGAGAGTCTGAAAATGATCTCTTAAGGAAGCCAGAGGGCAAAAAAAAGCCCATCACACATTTGCTCTGCGTCATTAGTTCAGCCTTTCTAAACTGCTGTTTATTGTTTTCACCTCATATCATAAAAAACATGATGTCTCTGCAGCTTTAAAAAAAAAAAGAAGAAAATCTGCTCTGGTGATACAGTAATGCTGTCATTTGTATGGAGTACATATGCATTGTATACACACTTCTCCACGATAAATATTGAGAAGTGTAGAATCTAATTTGGGTTCAATAAAAGAGTGGTTAATTATTAGGCACAGTGAAATTAATGTGATAAATAATGCAGTTTTACAATGGTTATTTTGACTCTCCTAGGTTCCTGCTGACCTTCAGAATGAAGTGCTGATGAGTGTGCAAGAAACTGATCCTGATGTTGTGGATTACTTACTGCGGAGGAAGGCCTCTCAGTACTCGTGAGTTTTCACTTTTGTTTCATTGTGTGTGTTTTTTGTGGGCCGTCCCTCTGCCCAAGCCTCCAAATCATCAAGATGAATAATACGTTATCCCCCCCCCCCCTGGCGATGATGAGCTATAATCTTTATTGCATGTTCCCTGTTTCTGCAGGGAGCCAGGCCTTCTTGAAGCAGGGGATTCCTTCTCTCTGACTGAGAGATGCGTATCCAATGACTCCTTCAAAGCATCTAGTGGAGAGGTGTCTCCCTATGATAACAACTCTCCTGTCCTGTCCGATCGACTGCTGTGTAAATACCCAGAGGATAGAAGTCCGCTCTCAGACAGGAACCCCAGACTGTCTGGGCAGTACAAAGACAGCGGCCATTCTAAAGACGGCTCTGGCAGCACCTCTCCTACACTTTCTACAGATAAAGGTGAACTCAATTTATTGCAAACTATACTTTAGTATTATAAAGAGAAAATGAAAGGAATTGGTTTACATTTTGGAAATACTTATGGACTTTCTTGCTGACATTTAGATGAGAATATTGTTCCTAGGGTTCGGGTTAGAGCTCAAAAGTGTGGACTCACCTGATATATTTATGTTTTTCTTATTTCCTTCAATAATAATAATAATTAATAATAATAATTAATAGTTTAAAAAAGACAAAAAAGAGTATGATGCAGACGCCGCATGTATTATTTACATTTTAAATAGAAGAATGAAATGCTTAAATCATACGTTTAGTCAGTGTCACCACAGCGTTGAAACTGCTGTTGTGACCATTTTTTGTTCCTTTTAGAGGCCTCAACTGATCATTTCTGGGACACCTGGCATGGACTATTCAGCAAGGAGTTTACTAGCCATCATATTACTGGTAATACAATCTTTTGTACGTGTTGCTGCAGATGGTCTTGAGATATGTAATGAATGCTGGATGTTAATGAATGGTTCCTCCCAGGGTCCCTCGGAGACGTGTCGGAATGTGAGTCGTATGGATCTTCAGAGGGGCTGAGCAGTCACCAAGGTAACAACAAGCCGCCCGTCAGACGGTCACAAACCTCATTGGGCGTGCTGGGAGTCAGGCCACACCCCCCAGTGACTCGCAGCTGCAGTGGTCCTCATGACCAGAGAGGACAGAGACAACCTCAATCATCATTACATCAGGGATTGAGCAGCCAATCAGCAGCCCTCAGTTCTGGCAACTTAGCAGAAAGGACAGGACAGCCAGCATGTCCATCGCTTAAGTTCAGGACGGACGGTTTGTCTCCCCCTCACTACTCTGTACAGCTGAGGGAGACCCATATTTCTTACTCCACGCCCTCCCTCTTCACGTATCAGCCTGACACCCAAACCCCACAGCAGTACCAGCAAAGCCCTGCCCCCCAGACTGTAGATACCGCAGATGCCTCTGGGCCTGGACAAGAAAAGGGCCCTGGTACACCAAACTGGCAGACGGAGAGGTGGCATATATGGCATATACTGTCAAAAGACAATGCAGACGCCCTGCCTGAGACGTTGGTGTGACCATGTTGAACAATACTGAAGATAACTTCAGATAACAGGAGCCATTGTCCTGTCACATCATCAGATGCCCAAATGCTGTTTGTCCGTACATGCAGTATTACGTAATGATTCTCATTGACAGACTGATGGGACTTTACATCAACCACCATTTAAAGGTGATGATAGTGCTGTTATTTTGAGTTTAACTGTTTATATATTCATATTGTTGTGTGATGTGATGTTAACATGATGCAAATTATATTTCTGGAGAATATTTTAATGAGTTGTCGTCATTAACACAGAGATTTTTTGAAATACAATCATCAAAAACTTGTATTTAGACCTGAATGTCATAAATAGACTTGAATGGTATTCATTTGAATTTGAAACCATGAATGTTTTTAAGATGAATGTAACAATATAAATTCTGTTTATGTTGTCATATTGCTTTAGATGTGTACCGTATCATATACTTTAGCGACTTTAACATTCAGTTTTGTTACCAGCTCCTAATTATAAACTACTTCTGGAAATGCTGCAGAATGAGAATTTAAGAATTTGTGTATCTTCTAAACTGTCGACACGTCGTACGTGTAGGAAAATGGCTGCATGAAATGAATTTGAATCATTTCCGTGGTATGGTATGAGACAATCTCAATTTATCATGAATGGAATTAGCAATTGTAAAGTGGTGTAGGTCAGGACATGCATTTAAAATTTACTTTTGAATTCAGTAAGACCCTCTCTTCCTTCAGGGTTAGACGTTGTTGCCAGTTCTGCTAATTTTTGCCCATTGCCATGTAATTACCTATATCATAGATTTATTTCAAAGTGTCCACAGCTACAGAGTAAAAAATATAATTGCCAATATAGGAAAAGAATGTAAAAGTCAGCAGGGTGCATATTGAATTCCCATAAGGAGATGTGTTTTCCGGTGCATGATAACAATCTAATTTGACCCTTTCACTTAGGAGTTAATTTAGGAATCGACATGAAGTTCAATCAAATGGTTACTTAATTATGGTGGGCAGCACAGATTCTGCTCTCTAGTCAGAAAACAATGAAACAATTACCTGAAATGGCCACAAGAGGGAAATATAAGACCAGGAAATGGTTTTCACTTTCCTTTTACTTCCCCAAACTGTAATCCTTGTGCATTGTGGGTATACAGTGGGTTTTTAATGACTCATTACACACTGAGCAGCTATTAGTTCAGTTTAATTCGTATTAGACACCTTTTCCCACCATGATAGGGATGGTGTTGATTTCATGTTGTATGGATGATGGCTTTTGATATGTTCGTAAAGATCTAATCTTTCACTCTTGTCTTCTATTGCTACTATTGAAGAGTGCATTTTCTTTTATCAACAGTAATCTTGCTTTATGTGAATAAAAAAAAAAAAGCCAGATCTGAGCTGAGACAATAACAGTAACATTTACCACTAAGTAAACTTTTAAAGTACTGGAATTGCAAGAAGTACCCACAGTAAGTATGCAATTATGCAGGAAATGGCTACCATTGCAGTCTGGCACACAGATTACAGATAGTATATAACAATTTAGGAATGCAGTTTTGAGGATACAACAGTATGCTTATTTGCCCTAAAGTGTTGGAAATGATTGAGATGACTGACATTGTGTCATTTAAGAGATTGCGTTATACATTTGTGTTTTAAAGTAAGTAATCTCACTATGTTTTGACAATAAGCATCCTCTCCCAGATAATAAACTCTTCCCTTGTTAAGCAAAGCATGGAGATTTCCTCAACACCAGGACTTGTGGCTAAACCTTCTAGGCCATATCTGTCTCCACCATCTGTGTGAGCCAAGCTGCATTTGGCCACCACACAATCCCATTCCGACCGAAGAGACAGAACAGGATGTCTGGTTGTGTTTTACAGAATCACTGCCGTTTGCCTCGACTTCTACATCTGCACTGCAAATGTAGCAGTTTGCCTTCACTATCCCATTGCATGTTCTAAACACTTAACAGGCCAAGCATTGAAAAAAAAAATGCCTGGAGATGATTTTTATTTCCCTTCATTTGTGACCTGCCTCCCAAAAGCAAACAATCAAGATCAAACATTTAATTTCCCATCTTATCTTTTTGCAGCATTGGTGGATGTTAGTTGATCCTTTGGCAGCGAGCTGCAACTGTTCCCAACGGGAGGTCCATCCTGTCTGAGTCTGCTCACTGGCATCAGGAGCAGCTGCAGGGAGGACAGAGGAAGGTCACAACCCAAATGAGGCTGAACGTCCAGAAACCAGGGAGCGCTGCCCCTGGTGTTTCAAGGTCGAGATAGATACACAAATCTCTACAAAGGAAGAATAGAGCTGAGTGAGAGCTCATTAAGCTGTTGGTTATGGCACAAAAGACTTTGAAATCCAATGTTACAAAGCCGCAGTCTATTTCTGTCATTTTGGATACCAACTCTGAGCTACTTAATATGCTGATGTGTACTGGCATCTTAAGTGCTGAAGGATTTAGTCCACGGCCTTCATTTTAATCAACTTTATAACAAAATCAGGGAATGTATCTCAAACAAGTCAAATACAGTCATTGCCATCAATCACTGTTGCGTCAATGTTGAGTTATTGTGTTGCATTTCCATTTTCCAAAAGTGAAAACAATAAGCTATTTTGTGCTGATGCATGATTCTACTTTCCTCCATTGTATCTGGAAATGTGCATCCAAAGCCTTTAGTAGTGAGGGACAGTATATATAATGAGTGAACACAATGCCCATTATTTCACTAATGGAAAAATGTGCAAAACAATGGTCAGCAGACTATTCATGAATGCAAGAGTGACACAGGACCTAAATGTCAATAACTGCGGTATATAGGAGTCACGGTCATGACTGGGTAATGAAGTTTATTGCAAGAAAGAGAAACGTTCAAGATTAAAGGATTAGCAGTTATTGCATTAAGCCTCTCAGCTTAGTCCAGTTCAGCACTTTATGAACAAAATGGGAAGTTTTAGATACCAAGTGTTTCACTGATGAGACAAGTTTAAGCAAGTTGGTGCAATTTTCGACTGGATTTGAATTCTGAGCAACTCTTCCCCTCTTTTCTTTGGATGGGGGGGGGGGGG